AGTTTTTATATCTGGAAAATATTTTCAGAAAATAAATTCTTTGTTTAGAACATTTCTATGGCATTCTTCAATTCTGAGAATATCTTTACAGAAAATGTAATTATCAATTAATGAGGGAGGATTCGGTCTTCTCAAACTGGCGTTATATCATCATGCTTACCTATTGTCAAGTATTAAATACTGGAAGCCAACAAGTGTTAATTTTCCAATTTGGGCAACTTTGGAATATACATACAGTATATAACTTCTTTGGTCAGATGGACAGTATTAGGATCTAAATATACTAAAACTGTAATATCTCTGGAAACAATTTTGTCAGTTAGAAAGCTATGGAATGGAATGTCTAATAAGAAAAGATCTGACCCTTTTTCCGATGCCAAACTGACTTTATGGGGAAACCCAACTTTAAAAATTGGGAAAAAGATGGTGATATGGAAAAATTGGATGGAAGCAAGGATATTGACTTTGGACAAACTGATAGATGATGAATGTTTAATGTACTCTGTCTTAAGAGATAAATATCACCTATCAGATGTAACCCAATGGCAATATTTAATGGAAGCAAGGATATTGACTTTGGACAAACTGATAGATGATGAATGTTTAATGTACTCTGTCTTAAGAGATAAATATCACCTATCAGATGTAACCCAATGGCAATATTTACAGCTACAACATTTGTTAACAACACTGTGGACCAGCAGCATTTTCAGCTTGTGAGAATCCCTGAGATATTAGAACAACTTGTTAAATCCTTTAAAACTAGAAAACCTATTAGTTTTTATAGATATTTGTTATCAATAAATCAATTTGATATGCAGATGTTAAGGGATGAGTAAAATAAAGAATTAGGGGTTTCTATATGAGAGAGTGTCTTAACCTCTATAGCAAGAGTGTCAATGGACCTTAAACGACGACTTACACAACAAAAAATATTATTTAGAATTTATTGGAGTCCACTACATCTGTATAGGAAATTATTGTTAAAAACAGCTAGAAAGAAGACGCAAACAACATTATGGGGACACAACAGAATTAAGGTATTGCCAGAGCATGTCATTCTGTGATTAGGTGGAAGTGTAGGTTGTATAATTTGTGCAGCTCTGGTGGAAGTATCCAAAGTACTGTCTGGTACAATTGGACTGAGTAAGTTTCAGTTGTTGAGGTCTGAGAATATAGGTAAGAAACATCTTTGGCCAACCACTTATATGTTCCATCCTTGTCTTATTTTATCAAATAGGTTTGTCTGGGTCCAGGAGTTCTAAATTTCTGATAGAGCAGGTGGTGTTAAGCCTTTTTTAAAAGGCAGGAATTAGGATACTCATGAAAAAAAAAAAACCTAGACTCAACCAAGATGAAAACAATTATAGGTTGGTTTGCCAGCATCCCTTTCCTGGGCATAATGTATAAGTGACTGGCTATTGATCAGCTCCAGGAGTACTTGAATGAATGGATTTTCTGAATCCATTTCTTTTTGATTCTATGACTCATTTTGACACCAAAATGTCTTTACCTATTCTGTAGGATTTGTGCCAGAAGAGAGATGGGAAAATTCAACCTTGTGGGTTTTTGTACACCCCTCAATGATTTTTGATATCATTGCTCATCTCGGAGGCTGTCTGAGTTGGGATATGGGGCATAGTATTACAGAGGTTCTGCTCCAAAAAGTGCGATTAAGAGATTATTGCTTTGCCTCATAAGATTCCCCAGAGTTTTATTATATCCCTCATCATTTTAACTTCTATATGGAATTGTTGGCAAAGATTATTCAGGAATATGGGCTGCAATATCATCATTACACAAATGAAATCCACTTTTCCCTCCCCTTTTCATATAATTCAGATGAGGTAATTGAGGTTTTGAACAGAGTAATCTATTAGCTGAGAACCAATAAAGTGGGATTTATTATTTATTCACATAGGTGACAGTTGAGACAATCTTCCTATTTAGATTATTTGGATGCTTATGTATTTCTGTTGCCTTTCTAATAATTCTGGGAAAGTACCAGGATTATTCCATTGCACCAGGATGCTGACATTCTCTTGCTCAATTTTGTGATTTGCCCCTTTTGCTTAGCCAAGGCTGTCCTATATATTTTAGGCTAATGCTCCTTTCAAGAGTTCTGTTTGAACAAATAGTGTTCCTTCTGTTCAAAGAGGTTACGTTATTTATTAAGGCTAAAGTGTTTTATTCATGTTTGTTGAACAGGATTACTCATTGGAAGAAAAGGAAGAACTGAAGGGACAAGCCCCAGCTCCCTTCTAGCAACTAAAGACTCACTTCATCTAGCAACTAAGCCAAGCAATGCTGGGGAAATGCTGTGGATTACAAAAACAACTTTGTGGAATGTCCCCTGGAAGAGACAAAATGCTTGTATGTACAGACTGTTAGATTTAGAGTTAATAGGCCCACTTAAGACAGAGCATTTGCAGAACCAGGGGTTCCCTCTGAGTCTTGCCAATCATAAACATCTGCATTAAGTAGGGAGCTGCCCTGAATGTAAATGCCATTTCTGCAAATCTTCAATGCTGCAATCAACTGACACCTTGCTCTTCTCCATTTTGTTGTAAGCCAAGATATGTTAACTCCCAGACCTTACCTGGTTTGACTGCTTTTGATTGCTTGAGAACACCTGTTGTGTAACCCGTTTGACATGAAAAATCAGATCTGTGTTTGCTTTTTCAGACTTGTTACCCCAAACTTCATAAAATTGTAAACACCGCCTTGAATCAAGTTTGTCTCCTAATGGATGTGTTCCTTTTGTTTTCTTGCCATCAGTATGGAAGTGGTTTGTCATGATCTTCTTCCAGAGTATTTTTCAACTTCCCAGTCTAGCCTACAACCCTGGGATTTGCTGGTGGTCTCTCAACTAAATGTTAACTAGGTCCAATCCTGATTAGCTTTGGGCGGTGGGTCAACCAAAATTGCTAGATGTTGCTATCTGTTGAAAGCTAGACCATAGTATAGGATACAATTTGAGGCCATTGAAAATACTGTTATAGGAAAGCTAAAGAGCCATTCAAAATGCCTTTTGTCATCTTAGATTAATATACCAGCTATGACTCTACCTGGACAGTGATAGCTCTCCAGTGAATATTCATGCTCTGGAAACTTCCTGTTTGGACTTCTGGAAAGTATGATATGTGAGGCTGCCTTTGAAAATGGCCCAGAAACATCAGTTGGTTCAGAACAGGGTTCTTAGACTGCTAAATAAGCTGGCTAATGCAATTATACAATGCCAGTACTTTATCATCTGCACTGCTACCAGACTGTATCTGGACCAAGTTCTAAGTGGTGGTGTTAAAACTGTAAATCCTAAACAGCTTTGGGACAGCTACCTGAAAAAGCATCTCCTCCTACATTTATCTGCCTGGTCCTTCAGATCTTAACCTGAGATCTTCCTTTGCCTCTGCAAATGAAGCAAGGCTGTAAGAGAGAGAGCTTTTTCAGTGCTGATATCCTATTTGTGGAATGTACTCTGCAGAGAGACGAAGGCAGCGCCTACTGTATCAACTCTTTTTGTGCAAGCTGAATATTTTTTTTACTCTTTGGTCTTGTGCAAGTTTAAATGGATTCTCTTTGTGAATCTCAGCCATATACTTACCTGAGTAATCCAATATTAGGATGGATTATGATAAAAACATCAAAATAGTTATGCATTTTATATTGTAGTCAGTTGCGATAGTAAACTATAGAAATCCATTATACAAGCATTGCTTTAAACTTAAAAGCCACCAAAACAGGATTATACAACATGTTGGGCTACAGTGCCTAAGGCCTTACTGGTAATAATTTCTTGCATCTTGCAATAAACAGAAAGAGATACACTCTATCTGAAATGTTAATTATCTCTGTCTAATGTTAAATTTGTAAAAAACATTCCTACTTTACTACCTTATATTTTTTTCTATCTGTGCAGCAAGCAGCATTCCCATAACCCAGTTCCCACTCTAGCATATCCTTACGTGTGTTTTTGTCTTTGGATCTGGAGAACCAATATTTCCACAGATGTTGTGTTCAGATTCTGCTGTTCTTGACAGACCCCTGTGTGTCTTTCTTGTAGGCAAGTTTGCTGATGCAGGGGAGAAGAGGAAGGAAAAAAGAAAGGAAATTAAACTGAAGTTCTGTTTATATGATCTTCTAAGTTTTCCTGCCAGCTGCCATAACAAAAGCACTCACCTAAACATTCACCATAATTAAAGTCAGTTTCTCTGTTTATTATTGTTAGCTTCCTCTATTTTCATTTACGGAAATTTGATTAAGCTATATAAAATGCAATTCCACATAGACAGCTAAGAGGATAATCTTTATATAAGAAAGTTAATTATAAAAGAGAAAGGAGAACTGCTGCAGGGCTTTTCCCCTGAAGATCAGACATCACATCTGATATCAAAAAACAACATACTATTGCCAAAAAACGTTACTTCCAGACTGAGGTGTCAGTTTTTAAGAGCTTTAATCACTGTTCTTCCACAAGAAATGTGTGTGGAGTAACTAAAGAATAACACAGTTGAACATCAAAATAATTTTGTTAATTGTAACATAAAATGTTGGCAGATACTTTTAGCAATCCTTGTTTCAATAATATTTGTGCTCAAATACTTTACATGTTGGAAATACATTGCATTTTCTCCAAAATGTATCAATGTCAGTCAGCCTAATGCAGGCTAAAAACATGCAGGGCCACTGCCTTTCAATATAAATCTAAATTCACATATATTCCAAGGAATTAGGAATTTGAAGCCCCTTAAGCAAAAACTACACATAGCATATAAAATAATTTTACCTGTTTTGTCCAACACCGGCTTGGAATTGTCCAGTTTTCCCAGTAGAGATTTACTTGTCTGTGGTGCTTGTATGCTAGCCTGATACAGAGATTCCAGCTCAGAAATCTCCTGCACTGTTTCTTGATTCTGCACTGGATCTTCCCCAAAAGCTATCTGACTGATCACAGGTGATTTGTCTCCAGGCATCAAAAGCCAGCTGGTACTCTTATGCTGAGTATTACAATACTTTTTAACATGGTCTGTGCAGCTGTCCACAGGCACAGATGCAACCGAGTCAGCAGGATTTCTATAATTGGTGTGTCTTGTTTCTTCCTCACAGCTGCATCTTCTTGGATATAACTTGGGAATCAAGGTACATTGTTTCCCTTTGTTGCAGAGGATTTTTTTATGTGACTCAGAACTCTTAGAAGTGATATTGGAAGCACTAAAACAATCTTCAGAACTCAGCTCAATTTTAGAAAGGCTTGAGTCCAAAATTTCGGCAGGTGGCATTCCATTCTCCTGTCTTCCAGTATCTGACAGCTTGAGGAAAAAAGGGCTGCTGTAGGATCTCTGCTGTAAGTTTGGAGCATTTTGATCATGACAGGCAGCTGCCTTCCTTTTTTCCTCGTAAATGCCTTGTCTTTGAAAATCTCCCTCCAGCCACTGAAACTGTTCTGCAGTGGAAAGGACATGTCTTTTGCTACTTACACCCTCAGATTTCAAAGAATCCCCGTTGACAAATTCTTCTTGCGGGTGATGTAAACTCCCATGGCTGTTTACTTCGAGTGGCACAGTAGTCTGTAATGCTTCTGGAGAAAAATGAGGGGAGAGAGAAGGCAATGTTGCACCATGATAGTCCCCAGGCGGAGCAGCACCAGGCCATTCTGAAACACTTCCTGAGTGGAAGAGCGGATTACATAGGCCTTTTTTGCTGGGTGACGGTGAAGAGGGGAAGAGTGTAGGTAATGATTCAGAGTTTGTCATGTTTAAATTCATTTTGCAGTAGGAGGTGAAAGGAGTTGCTACATTATGTAGTTTCTTGACCTTAATGTTACTGTTGTGGTCCTTATAATCTTTTAAGGTAGTAGGAGAAGCAAGTTTCAGATCACCATTGATTTCATTCTTAGTCTGAATGGATCGGTCACTAACAGCTTGTCTATAAGGAAAAGAGGTAGCTTGATCACTGAAAGTAACAGAAGCAGCTTGAAAGTTCAGACTGTTTTCAGGAAGGGATTGAAGTAGGGACTTAGAATATGATGATTGCTTTTCGGGATGGGAAGCAAGCGGATGGATGTAGGAACTGGACCCAGGTTCTGCTTCTTTGCTGGGTTCCAGCACTATCTTCTGTCTCAGCAGTACTTGGAGTGGGACAGTCTGTTTACTGAAACACACATAAAATCGTAATCAGTGACTGATGATTCCTAATTAGAAATCTTATGGCTAAATTAAACCTATCAGCAGAATTGCTAATCTGGTAAGAATTTTTTCTGATATCAGAATGGCACCAAGAACAATTATCTTTTTTGGAAAAAAATAGTTTTGCAAAGAAGAATCCCATCAATGATCAACAGTTTCAACCTTAAGAATGTATGTATGTTAATATATTCTTAGGAGATTTGAAGGTGAGCCAAATGGAGAATATCCTCATCATGGACTAGGAACATGCAATTCCTTACAGGAATATAGTCCATCATATTAGGATAGAATTCTTGTTTTAGAGCTGAGTTCCCCTCTTTTCCCCTTTAAAAAAATGAAATCTTTCACATGCAAATGTACAAAAAAGTTCAACCACTGATAATATGATGCAATCAACTGCTGCATGTAGTCAGAAATAGTGACTCCATGAATGTGTACACGAATGTTAACTAGATAACATTCTAGTATGTAAACATATGCAATATAATATATAAAATAACATGGGGGAAATCAGATTATTTACATGGTTCTTATTTTCATGTATAATTATATTACAACTATGTACATCTAAATTAGTGTAACATCCTACAAAAAGCAGAAGAATTATAACCATGGCAAAATATCCACATCTGACCTTTCCTTTTTAATAAGACTTTCCATTTGTGATGAATTATCACAATTCTTAATAGTAAAAAAAAAAAAAAAAAGAATAGCAGCCATAAATGCATATTATATGAGTGGTTTTTTTCCCATGACCAGAGAGAGAAGGATAACTATTAAAACTGAAGTAATATCAATATGGTTTTTGCAAGAAATATCTAAGAAATGAGTTTTTTTATGGTAGGGCAAAAGATATCAAAAAGATTAAGCAACTTGTTCCCCTAAACTCTTTTTTCAGGGTCTCCAACCCCTTTCAATTCCAATACTAGCGGTAAATCAGTGGCATGGTTTCCTGCCACTTTGAGGTAAAAAACCTATGAAAATGATAGTATATGTGTATGTGTGTGTGTGAGTGTGTGTGTGTGTATTTGTGCCTTCAAGACAGTGTTGACTCCTGGCAACTGCCTGAAGTTTTCTTGGCAAGATTTTCAGAAATGGTTTGCCCTTGCCTGCTTCTTCCTAGGGCTGAGAGAGTGACTGGCCCAAGGCCACCTTGTGCCTAAGGTGGGACTAGAATTCTTGGTCTCCCAGTTTCTAGCCTAGTGCCTTAATCAGTACACCAACCTGGCTTACAATAAGTTAGAATAAGTTTAACATTATTTTAAAAAGAAGGAGCATTAAAGATTCCTTCAAACAACTTGGACAGAAATAAAAATCTTGCCTATGCCTACCTAGGTATGACATGGCCCAATATGTTTTGCTTTATTGCCCTCCAAATGTTTCATGTAGGCTCTGACCATCAATATACTGCTAAATGGCAAAAAAGAAAAACCTGATTTTGCAGCCAGATTCCAGTATATCAGAATAATGCTAGGAGAAAGCTGGAAACCACACAAAAAGATCCTTAAACTGGCCATTCTTCTACCCAACATTTTAGTAATAATAATAATAAAAATCCTAATGAGATGCTGATCTATAATGTGTATCTGATCCTGATTTTTAGTTTGCTATAATTTCTGCTGAAAGTCAGATCCTTGCTATTATTGGTTATTATGTTACCATTATGATAAATAATTGAAGATGCTATTATGATAAAGAATTTGGTGCAAAGACACAGCTAATCACAAAATTGCATAAAGTCTGCATCCAGGCCTCTTTTTCAGATATAGTAAAAATCATAAGGAATAGGATAGGGAGATATTCAACTTGGACATATCTATCTCTTTTGGTCATGAGGAAAGTATTGCTGGTTCCAAAATCTTTGAAGTTCAAATAACAAAAAGTAATTTTGGAAGTGCAGGGAAGGCAAACAATGACCTATATCCCACATATACTTTCTAAACCATTATTTGCAGTTATTTGGAAAACCCTTCAGCTGCACTGTCAAAACACGGTACTGTAGTTTCCTAATTCTTTTGTAACTGTAAGTTAGGAAACAGAATTAAAAACAAACAACTCCCCACAACAAACAGAAGGAACTATTTAGAATAATCTTCCAACATTTACTAAAATTGAAGAACTTTTGGGAATATACTAGATGGCAGTTTATCAGCATTGGGGCTAGTTTAGGTACAGGATCTGATATGCACCTATTGCAGGACCTCAACTTCAACTGGAATAGATTATTAAGCAGTTGTTTTGTGAGAACTTAAAAAAAAAACAAGCATTGTTTGTTAGAAGCCAGCATGGGTTTATCAAGAATAAATCACGCCAAATGAACCTGATTCCATTTAGATAGTGTGACCAATTTAATTGGCCATGGGAATGTGGTAGACATTCCCATAAAATTCTTGTAGAGAAGATGACAAAAATGGGCTGGATTAGGCTACCATTAGATGGATACAGAAGTGGCTGACTGACTGCCCCACAAAAGTTTATGCAAATGGCTCTGTGTCAAAATTGAGGGAAGTGTCAATTGGTGTACAAGTTTCCATTCTTATACCCTGCACTCTTGAACGTATTTATAAATAACTTGGATGAGGAGTTAGAAAATATGATTATCAAATTTGCAGAATATACAAAATAGGGGGATAGCAAGCACCTTAGAGGGTTATAAAAATTCAGGAGGATCTTGACAAGCTGCAACAATCAGCAGAAACCAGCAAAATGAATTTTGACAGGGGCATCGGAGTAGAAAAAAACAAAATAAAACAAAGGTATGCCTGCAGGATAAAAGGAGGGTACTATTATGGGCTTTAATACACCTGAAAAGGACCTGTATGTTTTGCTGGACTGCAAACTGAACATGAGTCAATAGTATGATGCAGCTGCTAAACAGAAAATGCAATTGTACAGTAGTGTCAAGATCAAGAGAAGCATTGTTCCTCTTTATTCTGCAGTGGTCAAATCATATCTAAACTATTTTGTAGAGTTATGGGCACCAAATTTAGGAAGGAAGCTGACAAACTGAAGCATGTCCAGAGGGCAGTAACCAAAATGATAAATGGTCTGGAAAAAAAACTAATGAGGAAAGATTGGATGTGTTTAGCCTGGAAAAGAGAAGACTGTAGGGAGACATAGTAGATATCTTCATGTATTTGAAGGGCTGCCATGTAGAAGACTGAGTAGACTTGTTCAGTGTTGTTTCAGAAAACAAGACAAGAAACAGTGGCTTTAAATTACAAGGAAGCAGATTTCAATTGGACGTAGGGAAGAATTTTTTAAAGGTACAAACCGTTCAGCAATGGAACAGGCTGCCTTCACTGAAGGCATTTAAACAAAGGGATGGATGGTCATCTATCAGAGATGCTGTAATTGTAATGATATCTGGGAATGATCTTGGGAGACAGGGTGAAGAGATAGAGCCAAGGGAATGGTCATAAAAGGCGACTTAGTCTGCAGCAAGAATGTGGGTGGGGCAAAAGGCTCAGAAGGGACCCTCCCTAGTTTCTTGGGCTGTAAAGGAGAAGTGTGGGGGGGGAGATGTACTTGCAGACTTGCAAAACAGCCCAAGGAACTAGGGAGGATCTCTTCTGAGCCTCTTGCCCTGCCCACATTCCTGCTGCGGGCTCAGCTGCCTTTTATCTGACCGTTCCCTTGGCTGTCTCTCTTCACCCTGTCTCCCAAGGTCATTCCCACAGATCATTAGAATAATAGAGTATTCCTACATTGGGCATGAAGTTGGACTTGATGATCTCCATGGTCCCTTCCAACCTTTACAATCTACAATTTCTCAAGCAGATTTCATTAACAGAAGAATGTGTGTATATTTGTGTAGAATACAAAACAGAACAGATGTGTGTGTATCTCTCTCTTCCATTTTCCTCATGCATTTATGTAATATATATGCATGTATGTATATGTACATGTGTGATTTAACTTATATGTACTTAACTTTCTAGCATAGTCCCACAGTTTAAATCCCCTAGACACTTATTAGCTCAGGATGCTGCTAGTGACAGATACATACCCTGAACTTATGCCCATGCCATCTTAAGCCTTAAAACCATAGAAACAAACAAAATAGAAAGAACAGAAGGACTAACCCTCTTTAAAAGATTCCACAGAAAACTCTGGCACACATAATTTCCCTGAAGTAATATGTGTGCCCTCACCAGAATATGCCCCCTTCTGTTAGTAAATTTATGTGGTTAACAATTTCCTGACTGTATTGTCACTTCCCAGCTGGATCCATACAGTAGATACCAAAACTACATCAGGGGTAACAATATTTTACAGGTGAAGGTCATTCTAGAATTATCTTGAGAGTCCATGAAACCCTTTATTATTCAAGATCTGAATGAAATAATTAAATTTCATACAAACAGGGGAAACTTATCGCTCAGTGCTTCTTTCCAGATCAGGCCCAATTTAGATCTGGAGTATGCAAGATTTTTTTAGTCTACCTTGTAGATTGTGTCATGTTGCCCCCCGGTGGTGGGTGGCAGGTGGGCGGCGGTTGTACAGGCTGTTGTTGCTGCATGCGATCCTGGAGGCTCCGCTCTTTTCGGACATAGATTTGCAGCTTCTTATCGACTAGAGCTCTGCTCTGAGTGCTAGAGCTGGCATCATGCATGGCAAGTCTTAGTTTAGCTAAAAAGCAAAAGAAAACATAGCAGAAACAAAAACAAAACTTGGGGAAGGAGAGAAAAAGAAAAGATGCAACAAAAACATAAAAAGGAACATGCAAATACTGCCATGAAAAAGTTCACAAGGATGCATCTGTTCCCAATAATGCACATTCAGGTTAGCTACATGTCCAAACAAGTTAATGAGAAATAAAATAATGAAATTAAGCAAGATTTTTAATGATTTTTAATGAAATGCCCTTTGTGATCTAAGTCACTCTAACCTTCATGTACTAACCATTTAAATTCAAATACTTGTCTTTAGTCCCAGTTAGCTGGTCAACATATGAAGCCCAATACACAGCCAGTTGGGACACTTGCTGGCAAAGCCTTCATTAAGTCTGTATTTTGCCTTCTTCTTCTTTTTTTTTTAATCCATTAGAGCAGACTTCTAGAAACAAATACTGCTAATCTTCCAAAGCCAGTTTGTCTGCAACCTTGCAAACCAGCAAGAAGAGAATGGAGGATGGGAAAAGCCAATCAAAAATATGAAATATGAAAATAAAAAAAATGCAGCAGCACAGATTCCCAAAAGTCACAGCACATATTTCAAATAATGACACCTCCTTTTCCTCATCTTCTTGACATTTCAACAACTGTATATATTTTGCTTTCTTGCATGATCAGGCAACTTCATGCTGTACTTTGGGAATTAAAAACTTTTTGATAAACCAGTTTCTGAATTGAGAAAATTATGTGCAGGAGAAGGTGCAGGAAAGCATAATTAGCAGACAGAATAGGTGGCATCAAGAAGAATTTATCTGCCCTTCTCGCTATCATCTTTTTTCAGAAGGAGTCCCAGTAATAAAAAAGAGTAGGTAAATTCTGATATTACAAGGAAGAATGGTACTCAGAAAAAAAGACACCTTTTACAATCCCCCCTTTTCTGTTAGTTTGCATTAAACAGTTAATACTGTTAGCTTAGGTGATGGTATTAGACATTAGTAAACTGTACAAAGCACAGTAAGTTGAAGCAATTAATTAATACTTACATATAGCTTCGTTACAGAGAGCCAAAGCTGCAGCACAATCTCCCTTCTGCTCTTGATGTAGTGACTCTTGAAAGACTGAATCTGCCTCTTGCACAGGCCTCTCAAAGCCACCAGTCCTCCCTGCAAGGGGCAGCACTCTTTGTTTCCATTCCAGGCTTTTTCCTTCTTCATCTAGACAACCCCCACCCCACCCCACCCTCCATAATGCTGAGCAACAAGTTCTGTAACATTTCATATTGCAGATCACACATCCTGAAGCCTGGTTGTTTGAAACCTGTCTGCAACAGATGCAAAGGCATGTATAACAAGGGAGGTTATACAGTATAGAGGGTTGGAACAGGGTCTCACTAACATGCTAATGAAACCCAACTTTACAGCTCGATTTAATGAATTAAACAGTACTGTATAGACTGAGTATTTGGAAGTTAAATCCTATGAAGAATGGTTAAAAGAAATGGGCATGTTTAGCCTAAAGAAGAGAAGACTAAAAGGAGACATGATAGCAGTCTTCCAATATTTGAAGGCCATCACAGGAAAGAGGATGTGGATTTATTCTTCATAGTGCCGGAGAGTAGGACAAGAACCAGTGGATGGAAGCTTTGCAGAGAGAAATCCCAACTTGAAATAAGGAGGAATTTCCTGACTATTACAGCTATTAGGCAGAGGAACACTGCCTCCTGAAGTTGTGGTTGCTCCATCACTGAAGGTTTTCAAAGGCTGGATAAGCATTTGTCTGGATTGGTCTGATGATTCCTGCCCTAGACAGGGGGTTGAACTATAAGACCTCCAAGGTCTCTTTCAACCCTATGATTCTATGATTCTGCTAATTTTAGATTTCTAAGTGACATCTATAGCACATAGAACTTTGTAGTGGCTAAGACTCATGAACCAGCTGGGAATCCTTCTGGACAGATAGCTTAGCTGTGGTCTTCCTTACCTTGATAACATCCAACTTAAGTTAACAAAATAGTATACATGGTGCAGACTTAGAAGCTATATGTGCTGTAAAATGCAAAGGCACTGAAAATACATCACTAGATTCAAAATACCATTATTAGTAAGTCTGAGCACTTCAAATATTGATTTCAGTGTTCTGATTTGTATGTGGCGTGAGTATATATGGGTTAGTTTTCCTTATGAAGCTATTCACACGTTCAGATATTCACCAGAGTTCCTTTTTCCATTATTCCAAATTAGTTTGATAAGTTTTAGATATACTATTAAGATTTTTAAATTTAAAACTAAATTAGCAATTTAAATTTTCTTGCTGTTGCTGTTGTTTTAAGTTATACTGGCTTTTCATCTGTTTCAGCAAGCTGATCTGAGAAACTGTAGTCACAGATCCTGATGGATAGAACCTAGCACTATCAAACAAAAGGCACTGTGCAACTATAACATCCATTCTCCTTAATAAAAACCTCCTCTGGAATTACTGTAAGCTTTAGGTTGTATGGATCTGGCTCTTCTCCTAATCTGACCAGGTTACACCAGTGATCCACTACCTTCTCGCCTTTCTTGATCTCAAAGAGTTAAGACCACAGAACTTTCTGTGGCTGCAGGATGAGGAAATCAGAGATAAGATCTCTTACTCCAAGCTTGGTAGAGATGTACTGTACTGTAAAACATTTCCACCATGAATTCCTGTAAGAGGAATTTTCATTGCACCCTGGACTGATATTCTGACCATTTTTTTTTTCTAAGTGCAAACCTTTCCTGGCCAGACTGGAAAATATTCATTCAGATTTTTTTTTTAATCCTTAAGGAAAAATGCCACACTTAAAAACTGCCCTGCCACAACAAGCTGTGGAATTAAAGATTTCTGAAGACATACACATTTTCAGCCATAAACGGCAGTTTTGTTTAATCTCTCCTCCTTCTCCTGGGAGCCATCTAAGTGGCCATAGGACTGCTATCTTTATTCCTCAATAACTGCTCACTATGGAGTTATGCTAATGAGATCATTTATTCTTCTGAAAGTTACTTCATAAAAGGCAAAAATCTCAATTATTTATCTGTTGCCCCTCACTAGCAGTATTTACAGCTAGAACATTTATTGACATTTTGATTTAGATTAGCAACTTTTTCAGTTTCAGAGACACCTAAACTATTAGGGTTAGGGTAAATCATCATGTTGTTGGAGTACATGGAAATTGATGGCTGGGCAAAGGAAATGGATTATCTGTGCACTTATTAAGAGAGCTCCTTCAATGTTTCCTTCAACATTGGAAGGACAAATTTATGACCCCAATTACTCAGTAGATTGAAGGCCTGATGTTACTTGTGTCTTATGAACAAGTTGCTTACAGGTGTACATTAAATATGGACAATTCCAATTAAATACTGTAACTGTTATATAAAATTTTATATGTATATCTACATGTATGAGAAACCCTTATATATATATAATTCTTTTATTCTGAATTACTCTTTTTTCCTCTCTCTTTCTTCTTCTTCTAGTTTTTTTTTCTTTGTTCTGTTTTATTAAATAATAGCAAAAACCCTACTCTTAACCAATTTTTTTTTTTTTACAATTCATATGGCTGTCTTCCTGAATGCATATCAGATTAGTATACTGTCTATTATCATTTTTCCACATGATTATCCTCTACACACATTACCCTGATTTTGCAGTTCATCCAGATCCATGAATCGGCTTGGGTGGGGATTAAAGCCCATTGCTGCCTCTAGTTCCTTTTCCTGCTTCCTTTGGAAGTCCTGCTCCTGGGCCCTTCTTGCTACTTCTTCTTGTAATTCATCTAGCTCACTCTTGGATGAAACAAGTATCTCCCCACCTTCAGAGGGAAAAAAATCAAAAGCTTTCACATAATATTATATTTAACTACTACATTATTTACTTTTACAATTTTCTGTGTTGCTTATTAGACCGGTTTCCTTAAATGAACTGTAGCTAATAGAAATCTTGGGTCAAGCAATAGCTTCCAATAAAAGATTTATCAAGGAGGTAAAAATAGTCTATAGAATGTCTGCTGGGCTGGACTTAGTAATGGTAACTAAGACATTCAGTTATACAATCATTTTTTGTGTGTGTGTGTGTGTGCAAGTATACAGTACTTGATATTTTGATGACATGATCCTGCCTACCTCCTTTTCTATTAAACACAATCTGGAAAAATCTGCATTAGCAGGAGTACCATGGGAGCTGGGAACAAAAGGGCTTTGTGATTAGTAAATTAGATTACACACCTTTATTGTCACTGAAATTGACCTATGTGTCCTTCGCTGTAACTTAACTAAAAGAGATGCCCTGCAGAAATATTCAAACTCCAGACACATGCAAATACCTTCTTAGCTATAACTACCACTGTCTAAAGCACTGGTAGAGAACAAAATCCAAGTCTGAAAAATCCTCATCCCAAGAGAGACCACCAGATTAAAATACTGCTGGGCACTGCTAGTGGTATCTTTTCATATTTGTGCTTTATCTATATGTCTTGCAAAAGCATGTTTTTTCTAATGTCTCCTTTATACTAATGTCTCCTTTATACCATTTATACTTTTGTAATGTTTTCTTTAGATATAATTTAAGAGTTAATTTTTAGATGTACTCAGACACAACCATTTTGGAGGACCGTAATAACTCCAAATAGGTGTTATAGGTAAGGAATTCAAGAAAGTAAATAAAGTCTGTAAACAAAGAAAGCTGAGATTTATCTCAGTGAAAAAACTGAACTATATGCTTGCCCTATTAGGACAAAGCTTTAAGAATTTGTAGTAACTTTAAGTACAAGAGTACATTGGTAAATAGAGTTCATTTCTTTATGTACTCTCTGTGTGCAAGACACACAATTACAAGTTCAGCTTTTACAGAGGAACAACCTGTTCAAAAGAGATCCACATGTGCTCATTTACTTGCTTGGCCCAACTTTGCTATTTATTAATAGAGTCAATTCTCTGGATCCATATTTCCCATATGGTTTCATCTTCTTCATGTTGCTGTTTGCCCTCCTTCTTTCTAATCTAAAAAGCTCTAAGTGCTATTGGTGTTTCTCATAAGGGAATTGATCTAGCTCCCCACTCATTTTGCTTCAGCTTTCTTTGCCTTTCTTAGATATTCCTATATTTTGTTGGTTGGCAATTAACTGAACTGTACAGTGTTTAAAGTGTAATCACCCCATAGATTTACATAAAGTACTGTCTTATTGGTAGTTTTACTAATGACATTGGTAGTTTCCTAATTACTACGAGCATGGGATTTAACTTTTTTTGCTGGCACACACTGAGTTTGCGCTGAGTATCCCCCATACGTGCAAGGTCCCTTTCCTAATCTGATGCCATCTCCTACTTCTGTGAACACAGGACAATGACCTAGAAAAAAAGGGGAGATCATAATATTATTCAGGATTGCAAGTAATTGGAAACAGAGGGTGACACCTTACCATTACCAAAGCAGTATTTATTTTTTGTCTTGCAGGTTGCAGAAGAGGCAGACTCTACTTCCAAGATGCTACTGCTATGTGATTTTGGAATATTATGCCAGGCAGGAATAACATCTCCAGTTCGTTTTGTATGATAATCCCTTTAAAAAGAAAAAAAAACCCTTTATTTTCTCATGAAACACCCTGATCTTTCTTTGTGGAGGAGCAGTAATAGTCCCAAATTTACTATATATTTTTTTAGAACTTTCTGATATGTTACATTATTTTGAACTATTAAACATTTACAGCATAATCCAATAAGTATCTATTCAAAAGCAAGTTCACTAAGGCGTTTGGATATGTAAGTAGGCATATGATTAAAGAATTAATGATCCCTACCTCTCAGTGGCCTTAACATTGTTAAAGGCTTACAAAAATACTACTCTTATCCACAATGAATGCCAACCAGAGCTCCTGTCAACCATGGTGTTGAAACTAATTTATCCTAGAGATGGCAGTTGGGAGAGAGCAGACAATCCCCTTGTCTTTCTATATATTTTAATGTGCATCATGATGTTTTGGGGGTTGTCAATTTGTATAAAAAGTGTTAATTTACTTTACATCACTAACATCTCTTGGAGAAAAATGAAAATGATTGACTTCTTTTAGAGATGAACCGTGGTAGTGTAATAGCTACAGAAAAAAGCTACCTAAGCAGTTAAAACCAACCATATAGATAAATATCTGAGGACAAAGAGTTTTCTATGTTACAGAAATTAAAAGTGTATCATAAATTTTGAACACAAGTTTTTCAAAATAATTACATAAAGTAGAAATTGGATTTTTGCAATAGTTATATATAGGTCACCAATCTATTGCCATGATATTGCTTTTTAAAGAAAATATGAAAGGATACAGTTTTTCTACTGTGTTTCTTTCATAACTTTTTCTTGGATGCTATAAAACTGTTTATACTGGAACTGTTCAAAGGCCTTCAGAAAGTAAAACTTTAATACTTTGTTTAGTCAGTTCATACAGACTTTCTCTATAGACATCACACAAATTCTGAAAGCTGAATACCATGAAAAGAGATAATGTGTTTCACATATGATATTTTGTATCTTAAGAGAAAGCAAAGTTTATTTCCACTAGAATAATCTAAAATACAGAAAAATGATTTGAAAAAAATGCTTTATCTAAAACCATGGGATCCTAGGAGGGATTTCTCTCTTAACATTTACAAAAGTCTTCTACTGCCATGGATGAGAGAACCTGTTACTAACAAATGATTACATAAAAATTTTTCGAATTGCTTCATAAAAATATATTGCTGATTCAAATATTTTCTATATAAACAAACGTTTTATTACAAACCTCTATGCTTATAAAAATAAATTCTAAACATGCATTATACCTGTCTTGTAAACAAACATTAATGCTGAGAGTAGGGAACAATATGCTAAATTGTTTTTTTTTTAATTATCTTGAAAGTCATATTTTTTACTTCCATGTAGGGGAAATTCTGATTCAATGTGAGATCATAAATGAATGAAAAATTGCTGAAGGAAAAGCCTTTTCAAGAATCTGCACATGCAGCACCCCATGTGATTACTTAAGGAGTCACTGCAATTCCTCCCTTGGTCTCTTGTTTCACTGTGCCAGCCACGTTCTTTGGAAAGAGCACCCATTTCTTGCCCAGAGCGCTTGTATTACCACCCTCCCCCAACAGACACAATATGGTTAATTATCCCTCTAAGCAAATAAATCATCCACAAGCCTTTACTTACCTGAAAAATTCTTAAATAAATTGGCTGGCATAGCTCGTTTGTACTCCACTTTCAATCTTATGAAAGTGAAGGTGTTCAGATGTTTTCTACCTGGCACCTGTGGCATAGGGGGACTTAAAGAACACTTGGAAAAGGGCCCTTTGATCACTCAACAACTGCTTCCTTCTTAAAGAGAACTGAAGAAAAAAAAAAGAAATTGGGTCTGGCAAAGCAGTCTACTGAATCAAATCCAAATTCAGCTGAAAAGTTGATAAGTGAGATAATTTCTTATTTTAGCTACCGACCAGGGAAAATAATATCTTCAATCCTTGGTGCTAAATTGTAGGTATTCTATACCATGGTCTAGTCTCTTGGAGCTCAGCTGTGAGTGACAGCATCCATTTTATTTCTGGCTTTTTCAATGCTACTTCTGTGGTGTTTATTTGGCCACAATGTGCTCTTTTAATGGGATTCTAGCCTCTCTCTTTTTATATTGCCAGGTGTTTTTATTTTATATTATTCAAGTGTTCCCTATATACATTTTTTTAACACTGACACTGTTTACATTATTGTTGTTTTATACAATAAATTCTCATACGTCCCTGTTTCCCAAATTGGGTAACTTTGTGATATGTAAACTTCAACTGCCAGAATTCCCCAGCTAATATGGCCATTGCTAAGAATTCTGGGAGTCGAGGTCCACACATCTCAAAGTTGCCCAAGTTGGGAAACACTGCCATAGGTGATACTTTTACCCATCTATTTGATGATGAAAAAGCTTTTTTTTATATAACCACATTTACCATAACTACAATGTCCATAGGAAAAGTGAGAATAGTGGAGTGGTGGAGTCCTATTGGGATCCTATACAGAGGATAATTTATGAAGTAATATGTTTGGCAGACAATCACTTTTGCCAACAATGCCTTTTAAATTCCTGACCCTTGAGTGTACACTAGTGGGGCTGGCAATTGCTCTCATTCAAGTACCAGCTACAGAGATGAAACCACCCTGGGTCTGGACGCAGAATAGGCCTCCAGTTCAAAATATCCAGTCATGATGTGAGATGTTATGGGTTCACTACACTCATCTTCAACATGTGATGAGCCAAGGCCTCCAGGGCCTAAAGGGGGCAATTAGAATCACTTGTGCACCAAGTATCCATATTTTGTAAGGCACCTTGGATGAAACTGGAATTGACAGAAACACATACAGCAAATCTAGTGGCCAATGAGACACTAGAGTATCAGTTCCTTCTATCCTCACATCATGGAATTAACAGAACAACTAGCTTACTTTTCTTCGCCATTGCAAAAAGATTTACCAGTGGAACTTTCCACCTTTCTATGATTCTCTGAAAAAAACTGGGTGCAAAGACCACTCTGCCTGCAACAGGCTCTGTTGGTTTAACCACTCTGGAGAAATATTGTGCATTCTCCTTATATTATCAAGGCTCTTGAGGTGAGAGAAATGGAAGGTCTGTCTCTTAAGTCTGCAGCCTCATGCACATTCTTCAACACCCCATCTGCCCTTCAGTCAATAGGGTTGGTACTTGCTGCCTTCAAATAAATTGCTTATTATAGCCATATGAAGCGGCTGGGCCAAAGCCGAAAGGACGTTCAGCTGTGGATGTATCTGGAAGCGAAAA